GCTTGTGCCGGGGTCGCTAATTCAACGCGGTCAAAACGCTGAGCTTGTTGCTGGGGGCGCTGAGTCGACTGCTGGGGTGGCTGGCGAGTCTGAAATTGCTCGGTTTCCTGGAATCGTTGGGATTCCGAGATGTGCTTTTGGGCTGGCCGGCGGCTCTGAAATTGCTCAGTCTCGCGGAAATGCTGAGACTCGGACAGATGCTGCTGAGGACGCTGTGGCTGTCTGTAGCGGGTCTCCTCGTGAATGTGAACTTCCTCACGGTGCTGGGGAGGCTGCTGGGGAGGCTGAGGATGACGGCGATGCTCTTCTTCGAAGATGCGAACCTCTTCCTTGACGTGGGTGTCGTGAGAATGAGGAGGAGGCGGAGGATGAAGGGAGGCGGAAAAGGCTTCGTGCGTCTCTTCGTGACCTTCCCGTCCGTATGAAGCCTGTTCCTCGACCTTGACTTCGCTTTCTACCTTTACACTGGTAGATAACTTGTTTTCCGCGTTCCGATACGCAGACGGGAAGACACTGAAGGGGATCGGAACCTGAACTTGTCAGCATGGCCGCCAGAAACGGCATTGCACACAGCACATACTCGTGCTTCAAAATCCAGTTTGCCGGAGTCTTAGCGCTCTATCTTGAAAACCCTTCGAACCGTTCGAAAACAATTCGAAAGGAATCAAGAAAAAAGCTTCTTGGCTCCTTTTGAGGGGTCTCACACGGAGATGGGGTTGGGGAAGAAGATTACTGAAAAGTCGCCAGCTTTGAGGTTGTGACGTGCAGCAATTGAAGATGTGCAATTGGATGCAGTAGCGGGGTGGTGGGTGGAGGAAAGAGGGAGTATCGAGACCGAGGAGGGGATGAAGTAGATTGGCGGTCAACTGGGGGACGATTGTTGTGTTCCGTCTGCTGTGAGAAGCAAGGATGGGCATGGAGGGGAGGCTGGGGAGGTCTGGAGAGCTGTTCGAACCCGGTCTAGTCTTGTTTACCTCGGTCGCTAGCGTGTCACAGCTTCCCCTTTTCGATGCCGCCATGGGAGAACAGACTGCTTGTGGGCCAAGGAGACAGCAGCTTGGGCCTTGGTGACATTGGTGGCCAGCTGTGCCGTCCATTCGCACCGAGGCATTTTCCTGATCTTCCGATGAGCACAGTGCGGCTGGTTGACCCAGCGATGGCAATCTACGACCAGTGTTGTTTCGCGATCGCGAGCGACGCGCCTTGGGATGGATGGGTGGGGAAGGGCGGCCCACCAAACTTGCTGGGAGCTGGAGCTTCAGCTTCCCCAACCCCATACTGTGTACCCAGCTGCAGCTGCAGCTCCAGGCTCCGCTCCATAGGAGTAGTACAAGTACAATAACAATCCAGTGGGTCCAGTCTCCTCTTCGTGGAGCTGCTCAATTGGAGCGCCGGGGTCCTCCCCTCCCCCTCCTTGATGCACCAAGCGAGGAGCTGATTATGTGCGACGGGCAGCATTTCAGCTGAGCCCATGCCCATCGCATGTTGCGCGCCCAGCTGTGGCGAACTAGACCAGCCTCTTGCATTTTACCGCGTCGTGATTGGTACTATCTTTATCCTATCTGCAGCCTCCAAGGTGCATGGCTGCTCTGGCTGGCCATTCAAGTACCTGCTCACCTATGCAAGGACGGGTTCGCCGGCTCATCACGTGTCAAACCTCCCCATCAAAACTGCTGCATGCCAGTCACCAGTTATAGTATGCACATGCGGGCGAGGCCCCGTTTCGTCGATCTAGCGCAGAGTGGTAGTCATGGTGGTGTCAGGTGTTGTTGATGTTGTTGTTGTTGTTGTCATTGTTATTGTCGTTGCGGATATTGTGGATGTCGAGTCCAGGTCTGGTTGACTGACCAAAAGCAAAAAGGAATCGCAACGTGGGGAACCATGGTTCTCGACAGTCGACTGCATCATCGGCCATGCCCATCGGCGATGTGCTCTCCGTCTGACATGCATTGCGTCTTGCTGCAGAGTGGGACGCGTGTGCAGGTCGTAGCCCATGAAAGCCCAAGGCCCCTCATAGGCTGCTGTCCATCTCTTGTTCTGCAGCTTGCTGTACCAGACAATCGGCCTGGTCTGATTGCGAGTTCAATCACCTTATCGCTCACTGTTGATATTCGAAGACGCATCCTCAATACTATAACATGTGGTTCCAATAGCCCCACACCATGACGTGACATGATACATCGCACGTAGCTTGACGTCACTGCCTGTCTCTAGATGCATCTTCGTCGATGCGATGCATGGGCCTAAACGCACCGGGTTCTCTGAATGGGCGACATACCACTACTACCAAGAGTGCGCCAGTCATACTCTAGTACCCTCTGCATCGGATGCGCAACCATCTGCGATGGACTGGGACAACGTGATGAAAGAGATGGGAACGACGATAGCGATGAAAGAGACGGAATGACCAAAGTGATGAAAGCGATGAAAGAGACGAAATGACCAAAGTGATGAAAGCGATGAAAGAGACGAAATGATCAAAGCGATGAATAGAGATGGAGTGTCCAAAGAGATGGAATGAGCAAACGCCTGGTTTACCATAGGCTGTTGCGGGCGCGACATCGTTCTTTCCCTATACCTACCCAAGGACCAAGGGACACACCGTTAGGCGTCACGCCCTCTGGTGACCGGATTAAGAAGCGAACACCCTTTTCTTCAGAACGCCTTCTTCTACCTTGCGTAGCCCCACCTTGCCTCCAGATGTCAGCCCTTCAACATACGGCCTCGGTTTTCTACTTCATCGCTTGCGCACTTGTGATCCTGGCGCCCAATCCAGATGGTATTTCAGTCCTGCCCGACCAAGTTGCGCAGCCAGCACTACCGGATACATCCTAATTCGTTAGACAGGTTCTCCTTTGAGAATGGGAATGGGGACGGTAGTGGTGGGGGCGTTGCGAGGGGCTCCTTTGGCAACATGTCATACCTAATCCGTCCACGACTGCCTCAACCGTTCCACAGAGCCGTTATAGACACCGAGACTTCGCTCAACGACCCAAAGCTCACTCCTCCATCCTCGGTCGGACAGCCAGCGGCGGCTCGCTCTTTGTATCTGCGCAGGTGCCACTAGTGCCGTATACATTCCAACAACAAAATGTCATACGCTTCGCTTGGTCACATTCCAGGCAGTGTGAAGATGTACTTCGGGCAACTTCACGCGACTGACAGTTGACAGCAGTGACATGTTTCAGTGGTGATCGTATACAGCTCATGCGCATCTCCTGGTTCGGGCTCACGTGCATATTGGGAAGAGGGAAGAGCACTCTCATCTCGTTCGATTGTGCTCCTTGGGTGAAGGCAGAGGGAGCATGGAGGGAGCAAAGGTCCACATGTACTCCCTCGGGCATTCCATCGCGGAAGGCGCTTTTGCTGAATGAAGACATGTAAGGCAGGTGCCGACCGGTACAACACTAGAGCGAGCCTATCTTCTCCTCTGTATTCCATGTTTATAAAGGTCATGACTACCTCACCACAGTCAATTCAAAGCTTACGCCTTCTCTAACCTGTTTGCTCCTGCCTGCTCACTTCCTTCCTCCCGCTTGCTTGCGTGCACGCTTGCTTCCCCTTTCTATTCCATCACCTTCTGCAGGTCGGAAGCCTTGCCCTACTATAAAGTGGAATGCAACTGCCTTCTCCACGGCAACCTGCATCTTCTTTGTCAAAACACCTAACCCACTTCACTTCCTCCACATACAGCCTTCTCGCTACCTTTCCACAACAGTGCTGAGCACGAAGCAGCACACTCATCGCAGATATGCGTTTCTCTTCAGTGGAGTTTCTTGCGTCCAGCTTCCTCGCTGCGTCAGCAAGTGCTCGCTTTGTCATGTACGCAGATGAGTAAGTAATACCCTTCTCCGTACGACATTCATGCTGCTGACGCCCTCTAGATGGCATCCTACTCGTCCTACCACTCCTGCAGATCGTGCTGGCATCGATCATGTCGTCCTCGCCTTCGCCATGGCCAATGCCACGGCTCAGTTCCAGCCCAAGGTCCCCATCACGACCATTCGCTCAGAGTATCCTAATGCAAAGGTTATGATTGCTGTGGGCGGCTGGGGAGACGATATCGGATTTGCTGAAGCGTCACGATCAGATGCCACCATCGCCAAGTTCGCAGCCGATATCGCCACCATGCTCACCAACACTGGTGCTGATGGAGTCGGTACGTCTTGAGTTTCCTTGGGTAATACGTATAGGTGTGCTGACACACTGTAGATATTGACTGGGAGTATCCAGGTGGAAATGGTGCCGACTACAAGCAGGTCCCCAACTCAGAAAAGGTCTACCAGATTGAGGCCTACCCGAAGACACTAGCAGCTGTTCGCACTGCAATTGGAGACAAGCTCCTCTCGATTGCAGTCCCAGGCAAAAAGGGTGACATGATTGGCTTCACACAAGAGACTGGTCCCAAGATCTGGCCTTCCGTTGACTACATCAATGTGAGTTCCACCACGTGCATTCAATCTTCCCAGGGAAATCAACTCACTCTTAAACAGGTCATGTCTTACGATCTCGCCAATCGCCGTGATACTGTCACAAAACACCATTCATCGGTGGCCGGATCCGAAGATACCATCAAGAACTATCTTGCAATCGGCGCTCCACCAGCGAAGATTAACCGTAAGTGCAATCAGTCCCTTGTATGACCGCCCATGCTCATACCTTGACCAGTTGGTTTTGCCTACTACGCCAAGTACTTTACCACTCAAGGGGACTGCACAGCGAACCCTCTAGGTTGCCCTATTATGGCTGCAGAAGATCAAGTTACTGGAAAGGATCTGCTCACCTCTGGAGCCTGGACTTTCGAACCGTCTCACATGAAGCCTGTCGACAGCTCTGCTCTCCCCATTTCATACGATGGGACTTGCGGCCCTGACAAGGGCACTAAATGCGCGTCAGGGTGCTGCTCCCAATACGGAAACTGCGGTACTTCACCTGAACACTGCTCTGGAGCCTGTTGGCACGCGTTCGGTGTTGGATGTACTGACTCTGATGTTGCTGGATCGTGGCAACTGGCTGCAAAGAACGGTGTGACCGACGAGACCGAGGGCGGCCAATACTACTTTGACAACACAAACAACCTATTCTGGACCTGGGACACACCTAAACTTATCACGAGAAAGTTTGAGGATATTGTCAAGAAATACAAACTTGGTGGCGTCATGGCCTGGAGCTTGGGTGAAGATAGCTACGACTGGAGTCACATTCGTCAGATGGCTTCTCAGCTCCAGGGAACCAGCCCTGGGGGTGACTCGCCAACGCCTGAAGAGGACCAACCCATGCAGCCCACAGAGCCCATGCTTCCAGCTGCAGAATTCGATGAAGCTTCCGGACAGTATAATCCGGTCCCTGATACTCAACAACGTCGACCTCGTCCTAGTCACCGGCCCCAGCCGTCGCTGTCTGCAAGCCCATATGATATCGTCTTCGTCGATGGCACAGAGAACGGTCCCAGCGACCAGCCTTCTAACGAGCCCGGCTCGCCACCAGACTTCTCCGTCGACTATAATGATGGACAGCGTATACAGCCCCCTTCCAATGACGAAGTCGATTCATTTGTGGCTCCTGCAGAGCCGAGCATATACGATCTCCCAAACGCTGACCCGGAGGACGTCAACACAGTACCGGACCAGCCATACATCGAACCTCTCGATTCCAACGCTCCACCTGCTAAATTGCCTCTCGATATTGTCGCCCCTGTCCCAATCCCTGCACCAGTTCCTACTCCCTTGACCCAACCATTCGAACCAGACTTTGTCCCAGACCCAGGCTACATCAATCCGAATTGGCATCCTGAGGCTCAAGCTCAGTCAGCACCCGTAGTCGCCGATGCCAGAGTTGCTGCGAAGGCTGCAGCATCCCTTGCGGCATTGCCAATTGAGGGGGAAGTATCTACCGATATGGAGGATGCAGCGATTTGGGCAAAGCCGATGACAAATTCACGTCCGGAGTCGGTGGCCTGCGGTGCGAGGAGGCGTAGGAAAGCCAAGCGTGGATCGCAGTAAGACTAGGGTATGTTTTCCAGGGTGATATTGTCACTTGCGGTAAGCCCACATTGACCCCGAGGAAATAGCCAGCGCAAGGTCTACTTTCTGTTCGGTCAGCACTCGCTTCACGTATCTAGTATGAGATAACCAGAAAAATATGTAGTGTGATATGTACGCAATGAATTTTTTTGATTCGCTTGAATGTAATTTGTGTGTGAATGAGGCATAAGGCACTCTTTGGTCCGATCCCAGGATAATGTTTGAAACCAGATCAAGCACAACATTAATGGATTAACTACTGCTTTTCATACATGGTCTACATTCTACATTCTACCGGGCTTCTTGACACAAGTCAAATATACACTGTCATCTTTAGATGTGATAGATCATAACAACAGACTCTTCACAATAGACCCTACCCCTCCAACCAAAATTCAGGCCAATTGTACATCCTCGATAATTTTCCAACTAGAGCAGACCAGGTCCCACCCTCTCAGTTCATCCCAAGTCATCAAACAAGGACCAACAAACCACCCCCCTATATCCCCCAAACGGCCCCCTCCCCCCCGCTAAGCCTTGACCGTACTCCTCTTCGCCCCCTTCCTCAACCCCTTCTCCCTCTCCTTCTCCAAAAACTTGCGCTGCTCGTCTGCACTCAAGCGACCGAGCTTGGCATCCCGCAACTCCTTCTTCTGCTTATCGAGCGCGAGTTTGCGCTCCTCTGCCTTTTCCTCGTCCTCTTGCTTCTTGATCTTTGCGATTTGCTCGTCGCGCGTGGCGCGAATGCGGCGCAGGGCTTCGGGTCGGAAAGAGCCGTGGGCGGCGAGGTGGTCGGCTAGGTGTAGGAAGTGGGTGAAGAGGGGGAGGGTGGTGGTGTAGTGGGAGGTGGAGGAGGGGAGGCGGAGGGAGAGGGATATGCGCTTGCGGGGGCGGGTGTCTTCGATGCTGTATGTGGAAGGGGGTTAGGGTTAGCTTTTTCTTCTTCTTCTTTCTTTTGATTTGGGGGTGAATAGATGAGGGCTGTGGAAAAAAAAAAGCAACGTACGTTTTGGGTTGGTCGACGGGTTGGTCGCTTACGACAAGGGCTTCGAGGGCGTCGCCGGCTTGTTCGACGGCTTTGACGAGGTCGGGGGTAATGAGTGCGTCCGTGACTTCTGCGCTTTCGCTCATGACGGTGACCCAGACGGGGAGTTTGGCGTGGTCGCGCGTGGTGGTGAGGGATAAGTCGTAGCGCTCGTCGCGAAGCCTCTTCATCGTGTCCTTGTGGACAATGGCAAAGACGAAGCCGTCAAAGGTGCTGTTGCCCACTTTCTTCAAGCTAGAATCCATTTTGCCATAGGCTGGCGCAATCTTGGACTCTTGGCCATCAAAGACGTACGCAGTAGCCTCCATGCGCTCCCTTGGCGGTGCGAAGCTCTCGAAGAAAAGTGGGATAATGTGATCACCCAGACGCATCAAGGGGTTGTACCTCTTCGACAGGCTCAACTTGAAGTCGACAAATGCAATGTTTTGCCTCCCAGTCGCGTACGTCTGATACTCATCCGCCTTCTTCTCCTTGAGAATCTTGTCCGCCTCCACCGGCTTGACATTGCCATTCTCATCAATCTCCGGCCTCAACTGTCCCACCTGCACAAACTCCTGCGCCAGAACAGGCGCGTGCGCGGCAGCCCAGGCGCGCGCTTTACTCCTGTTACGCTTGGTGCCCCATACGTGGACGACGATGAGGAGGGCCAGGAAGGGCAGAATGTACATTTCGAGCTTGAAGTCATCCTTGGTCGTGCGCTCCCAGACGCGGTACCAGGCTGTGTAGGGGCGCGCGCTGCCGGCACCAAGAGCGGAAGTGGGAGCAGCCTGTGCTTGTGCACCGGTTGCAAAAGAGGTGATTGCCGCGGGTGTCGGCTCGGGGGCGCCTGCGTAGTCGGCAAAGTCTGGGGTGGAAAGGGTTAGCTGTGTTCGTGTGGTTGTAGATGAGGAGTAGAATGGTGTGAAATGCGATGCTGCTGCTGTTCATCATGGCGCAATAACTCCATTTGATGCTCTTCCAAATAACAAGCCGCAGCAGCCACGCCACTCCAGCAGCATCTCGTGTGCCATGCCCGAGCATTCACTCTCAAGCCTCCACCCGCCCATCCATCTTTTTCCGAGTATATTCAAACAACGTACCATCATCACCAACAACAGGTGCCTGAGCAGGCTTGTTTCCCCCAAAGAGGCCTTTTACAAAGTCTGCCATTGTGTCTTGCCGGACTTGTCGCGCTGCAATGGACAGGTGTTGGTTGCGAACGAACTCGGGGGCCTCGCTACCAACGAGTGGAGTTGCATCTCGGCTCGGCATTGACTTCAGTTTGGAGAAGCGCTAGCACGCTTGCGGAGGGGCATGGCTTGGAGAGCCTGAAACTTGGGCGACCTGAGAGTCGAGACATGCATGCGATGAGCTACAAGATGCATTATTATCATGATTGGGGGAATTCAATTGGCTTGTTGAGGGGGCTTGTTGCACGGTTGAGATGATTCATGTTCTACTGATATGCGATGGTTGAGGTGACGTGCGACGCACGCAACATAAGATGCTCTCCTAATGTTCACAGGAAATTCACACGGTATGCCGAAGACTAAACATATGGCTATAAGCTGAGGAGTGGAATGAAGCGTTAACCATTTTAATCTCATACGTGGGCGGGCTGATGCAACATCGACCAGTGTTACAAGTCGTCTGTGGCGAGCTTCTACAGCGCTCGAGCAATTATAACTTGACGTTGATCTTATAAATGAATCGATGATAATCTCGGATCTGTTCCATTGGTTTGATTGTACAGTGGATCTAACGGGTATTCCTATGAACTGCTTCGTCCATATATTCTTGCCAGTGATACGCTCTAGTTCTTGCCAAACCAAGTCTTGTGCCCCTGCGAACAAGTTAGTTGCGTAAATTAGATCCCCCGAAACTGAGCGACTCACCAAGACCATGCGGCACATCATGTACATGCTAGCTCCGAAGCTGGTGAAGAGCATAGTCTGGAACATAGGGACCAGGTAACGGCCGCGGGCCTAGGGACACAAATGTCAGCATTCTGTAGGGGATGTGGCACATAGGATCCAGCGAGTGCGACGGCTCCCTGGGCAATGGCCCTCTTGTCACCACGTCATATGTCCGTCGCACTCGCACGCTTCCATACACCTCGTCCTCCAAGACCGCCAACGCACCTTTTGCCAGACCCTCAAGCCATCGTGCTTCTGAAATTCGCGCTGGTAATGCGGGACGCGGTTCTCTCGGTAAACCCAGCTGTTGGCTGTCAGTTCTGTTCTGCTGGCGGGAGGGCGGAGGGGACGCAGAAGTAGCTGTCGCAGGGCGATTTGGAGGATGCGACGGCCATAGCTGCCGGGTATACGTACCCGGCCATTTTGAAGAGTGGAGAGGGGTGGATATGGTGGTCTGCGGGGGCAATTGGTGGTTGTCGTGTGAATGTCAGTCGTCCAAGTTGACATGTCGAATGATCAGGTCGAGCAGCGAAGTTGAGCGCCAAGCCCCACTTAGCCGTTTCCAGCCGCATATCAACTCCACTTACCTACGGAAGCTTCAACTCATCCAGATGGAATTGAGGTCGCGATTACTATTTATGCTGCCAAATGGACTGACTGTGCGCCTCCTTTGTTGTGTTTGTTGATGCCACCGGCGATAGACAGGCTTCTCGCCAGCCCGTCTGCCCTGCGAATCCTGCGCTCCATTGTCAATGCTGCCGAATTTCCTGCGGCGTGTGCTACTACGACAGCCACCGCCTGCTGCACGAGCGCTATTTCGACGCGTTGCGAATACTCGACTCATAAGAAGGCTTCGTCCAAGCAGAAGTGGCGGCGATGGCATGAGAAGGCTGGCGAGATTGTGGAGAGGGATCAAGTTCGCCGCTTTCTTGAGGCAGAGTCCCATTCTTTGGAGGATGACTCTTCAGTCCTACCGCATGGCAAGGGCGACGATGCCGCTTGGGCGAACGCTCTGGCGCAAGTGGAAAGGCTGAAGGGGATGACCGGTGTTGAGTCTCTCTGGTACGAATGCCAGCTAAGAGGATATCGACTGCCTACTAAATCTTCGCCCGACGCCGAATATCTTTGGAGCACTTTCAGCAAACATCCAAGACTTGTGCATCACGTCATAGATCACGCGGCCGCCGCGCTCAAGGAGACGGATACAACCTACCCGCGCCTCTACCATGTGGTCATGGGCTACTGGCTTCCTAGGAAGCCCAAAGCCGCCTTGGAATTGCACCACCGCATGTTGGTCACTTTGCGTCTGAGACGAATCCCTCTGCGCGAAATGGCACGTGCAGGACAGGCCACGTTCGCTCCTAATGTATACGAAGTGTTGCTGGACATGTATCGGAACAGTAACGAGCGGGATTTATACGACGTAGTTGTGCCAACGCTCATTGAGAAAGGACATTTTACAATGGCACGCAGATGGCACTCACTTTGCACGTTTCGAAATGACCTACCATCTGAGGCTGTCATGACCAATCCCGTCATTCAGATCTTCACGGCTGAAGCATCTGCCCTATCCAACGCCGAACCACATTTCAATGGCGGAGGCACGTCGATGAGCACAAACCAAGCCAAAGTAGAGCATCGCAGATATAATCAGGACCTGATGCGGAGATTGCTGGGCCGCGACACTGCGCCTGTAAGATTTGAGGACAGCTTCTGCGCTCGAATGTTTGCGACTAGGACTTTTCCACCCGCTTCTATTATACAGGGGCTTGCAATGGTGGGCGTCAACGAGATTGGACCACAGGCAGTGCTGGCCATGGCAGCACGAACACAGCCCATGGAAGAACTCCCACAGCGGTTTGAGGAATTGAGAGCAGTTGGTATCGCACTGCAAGGCTGTGTGTTTTCTCTAGCTCTGGAGAAATTCGCCAAGGAGCAGAAATGGCAATTGGTGCGGAGCATGCTCGAGAGCGACCAACATCCGGATGTTTTTGGCGACGCCGACGTGCAGCGGAAGCTCCTGCACTTCTACCTTGATCGGGAAGACTATGTCCAAGTGCAGCGTACACTTGCAATCTTGACACTCTTTCACAGTGACCCAAGTACCGAGTCTTGGAACCTACTTCTGCAGCTCCACATAGAGCGCTCTGAACTACAACAATTCTTCAGAACACTCCAAGAAATGCGTGTCCATGGCATTATGGTGACACATGAATCCATTCTCGCCATCAAAGGTCTGTTGAGACGAAGACAACGTGGCCGTAGACCTGTTGCATCAAATTACTACCGCTTCGATGAACTTCGCTTCATAGCTCGCATTTACATTAGCATTCTTGAGTCTGGTACGGGCGTCATCTCTCCCACCATGTGGCATGAGATCTTCAGGCGTTTCGGCATGCTTGGACGCTTCCGTGAGCTTCGACGACTCCTGTACCGGTTACTATGCTGGTACGCTCCAAGAAGCAAGGCCCAATTCATGCATCTCCCTAAATCGCCATTTCTCGACGCAGCATCCGCGAAGCTGCGCGCCGCTCATCCAGAGCGCAAACTCTACTTCAACTTTCCTGCGCAATATTCACAAGAACTTGCCGTAAAACATCCTATACGCCAGTTGCTCCCGCAGCCACTACTGCAAGGCCTCATCGTGTGGGGTTTCCGTGCTGGAATTCTGCCCAACGCTCACTGGGAGCAGTCGTTGTTTAATTCAACATTGGCCAAAAAGCACTACAGAAAGCGCCTTATTCGTAGTCACGGTCTCAAGCGTTTAGACTGGAGTGTCGGGCTGCGCACCGTCGTTCAGCTCCGTGATCTGGGCGTCCACGTGCACCGCCGTACTGTGCTCAAGGCGCTCCAAGCCCAATTTCTAAATCTTTTTGGCACGGGCAGGAGTTCCAAAACACAGAATCGCATCATGGAGACGACGAATACGAAGCCGTATAGTGCGTATGTTGAGGAAGTCAACGAGATATGGGGGAGCACGTTGATAGTGGAACCGCAGAAGATAGGCGAGATGGTGGGTAAAGCGGTGTGGCATCCTCGGTTGAGGAGGAGGATGAATCACCGATCGCAGGGGAGTTCTACATTGCGAGCAGGAAGAAACAAGCAGACAGGTGCTGGGGTTGGAGAGCATGACAATATTTCTTTGAAGGAGCTTCAGCAGGGAGTAGCGGAGCGCACGGAGGTCCAGGTATCAAATTCCTCGGAGAACATTACGTCTGAGGTGACACGCAGTACTAGTACAGATGATGCGAGGAGCTAACGCAGAGGATAAATAGCTTCAGCGAAGGGATCCATATATATGGATAATATGATACCTCCTACACGAGAAGCAACAGCATCTAAGTCATTGCATTACTCGTTCTTTGTTTTGATCCATGGTTTGCATATATAAACCCGCCTCCTTTAAAAAGTTTACACATCTCTACGCCATCCCCCACACATATAAAAGCCAATCATAATGTTTGTGCGCCCAGCCTGCTTTCCATCTGACACACCGATTTTTGTGAAAATATGCCGCTGGGGGTTGATATGTCTGAGCTGGTGCTGGTGCCATCGGCTTTTAGTGATATGGAAGTCTGCGGTTGGAAGGAGTAGTTGAAAAATTGGGGCAGGAAAGTGTTTTGCGACTTCGAAAAGACTCCCGTCCCACATGATGAGAAGTTATCATGTGTGAAAAGTCGGAAAAGGCGGACATTGAGATTGTACATATCGCACTTCAATTCAGCACTGAACTACATCATGTCTCTGGTGCCTGAGTCCCCGCTCGAATGAGATGCAGAGCATGAGCGCACAGCACGGAGGTAGAAACAATGCGAGTAGCATTTCATGGTTGTGGGAGATGGTGTGCAGGTGTGTGGGAGATGGGATCTAATGTGGTGGATGCTGAGGTAGGGAGGAAGGTGATGCACGCAGAGAAGGATTTTGCGTGATCGTTTGGCCTGAAGTATAACAGGGTTGACGAAGACATGCAATTCAGGTACCCTTGTTATGTGAAGGCTTACTCAAAGAGTGAGTGCCAGATCACTACGCGAGCAATTTTGGAGAGGAGGTCGGATATATGTGCTTTTCCCACTCTCTTGGGTGTGATTTGGATCAACCCTCTTCACCATCATACAGTACTCACTTTACAGGATCTCTGTAATCTTACGTGTACATACAACAACGTACACCTACTGCCTCACTCTCTCTCAGATCAACGACATCGATGTTGAAACACTCACTACTAATACGCATGAGGGGGGAAACTTGGTATATGCAGCATAAACTCTTGTCGATGGTACTCATGGGATCTTGTTCTTCATTGTTACACAGGAAACCCTTGGGCTTGACACTCACGAAAGAAGAGTGAGCAAGCATACTTATATGTCATCGAAACTTTCAATGGCAAAATGTGATGAAGGAGAAGGACCGTGAGACCGCGAAAATGAGGAAGTACTTGCGAAAGTATGGACATGTGCTGTCTCCATTTTCTTGGCGGAATTTCTCTTATCCTGCTGCACAAACGATGAACAGGACTATAAGAGTCGGCCCGGCACCTTGGGATCAAAATACCATTGGATTGTGTCCAGAAAGGGTTCAGAATTCAAACCTATCGTGATTACCGATATACGGTTATGAAACTTCAAGTTCTATGATATATGTCTTCTGCCTCCTTCCCTGCTTCTCTATATTGGAGTGTGAAGTCAAGCTTAGAAAGCGACCATTAGATTGTCATGTGTAGCGATAGCTGTGTTCTGGCGGCCTTTCTTCAAGTATAACTTTGGACTTGAAGGACATTCTTATTCCACAGCAATCTTTTAACGGGGATTTTTCCTTTAAAAAAACCTATACGAACACTTCAATGGCAGATTTCGTCTGGTTTTCGAAATATTACCCCATGATTTTCGGGGGTATTAGATAAAGGGGTATAAAAGACTCCAAACTTCAAAGACGGTTCGCATAGTCTTTGGACCTTTCTACCCGTGCAATTAACACATTTCTCCCAACATACTCGCAGTTGAGAATGTATGCGTGAGCCGCCCGTACTTGTCGACTGCTTCAATGTGAAAAGTCAACCGTACCAAACATCATGGCGCAAAGAGACTTTCCTAGAAGCAAGGTATACTATCTCACGTGAGCATGAGCTCGAATAGCCACTCGATGACTAACAGGCGTTAGACCAGACGACTTTGACATACATATAGCGCCGTTGCTGCGATGGGTGGAAGTTCTTTCAATTAAACCTCACGAGTGGATTCCAGAAAGAAGTGCTGATCATGAGCATGAAGATCCCGAGATTGGGTTTCGACTTCAACAGCATTACTCATGCTCGATAGTTGAACGGAGAAGCGTCATATGACATGAACACGCAGCTGAAGCTGTCAGCGAGAGCATGCTCAAAAGAAAATAGCTCGACAAGCATCGTCATGATTGTCGACTCAGTCACATTGAAGAAGAAGCAAAATGTTTTATTCCACTCAGTGTGGAACTGCATTCCAAGGGAAAAGCATGTGCATCGAGGATAAAACGCAGTAGAAAAAAAACTGCCGGACTCTGATGAATGGATAATCTTCCTTGTCGATCAGAGCTATATGTCCCGACATTGACAAATAGATATTGTATATCTTTCTTCATGATTGTTCTGCGATATGAAAATGCGTACATAGTTTAGCGTCAGCTGATATGTTGGCGACGACTAACATCTAAGAAATGAAGTGGATAGTCGTATGTTTTGTAAAGTCCCGCACATTTTACATGAACCGTGTATCTCAAAAGCAAATTGCACTCTACAGACAGGTAAAAATTCACAAGAGATCAATTCGTGCACCAGTGCCACGTGGTATTGAAAAAGATATGGACATCTGGTAGATAAATCCTTCGGTCGAGCATAAAGGAACTTACTCTTCCACAACCAAGTGACGAGCGCCTTTCTCAAAACATGGGGTCATGCATTCGATATCCTTTCCGGTAATGTGATCGAAGTTCTTGTTTAGTGTATATCTGATCATGGCCTCTGCCACCGATCAATTTAAAATCTCAACCAATCACATAGCCGCCTCCGACATGTTGCGAGCATCGTCTTGATCACATCTAATATATCCCACGGAACCTGTTTCAAAAGCTGAGATACCCACTTAATGCGGTGATGCAAATAATTCTTCGCTTTTAAGAAGCGTAATACTCCACACTCGCTTCGTCCTACAATTGTCCCAAAGAAAGACACTCTTAGTCTTATGTTTTTCCCTGAATATCTTTCCAAAGTATGTTACCGAGGAAGAATGCATTTGACGCTGCTTGGCCGCCTGGAAGTTCGATGATACATTTGTATGGTATAGGTTTTCAATAGGCTTACTGGAGCACAAGATGCGTCTTCCCATACGATACGAGTGGTTGGAGAGCAAAGTACACGGAATTTGGGCTTGGTAAGAAATATCTGAGCAGCGAGTAGTGCAGCCCACTTCCAAATCCTGACTTCTTGACCATGTTACGGTGAATACAGGTATATACGCCACGTGGTGTGTGGAATTCAGTGTATTTCATATCCTGGTCTCTCCCAGGACTACTGAATGATGTGAGCAAAGAAAGTTGCAGCGCATTTCGAGATATAGGTAGAGCCTGGAGGAGGTCTGATGAGGTGTCCATATGCAAGGGTCTAACATTACCAAGATAATGGTGTATATTGATGGGTATGCTAGTCATTTTTGGTCGCGAGCGCACAAGTTTATTGTTCCCACCCACTGCGCCCTGTATCACTACAGTACAAAACCGGTTTACAGTAGCCATATTTATCTAAAGTAGACCAAGAAGTGGTTTAGGTAGAAGAAGTAAACCTAAATAGGGTTTATTATACCATGTATTCCACAAAAGTAAACTACTTTTATTTCTACTTCTATTAATCTACTAGTATTAGTAATAACTAGTTTCCTACTAACTATTTAAGTATTTTACCCCTCCTTTCTTTAATCTTCTTTACTACCTCTATTACTACCTCTACCACCACCTCTATCACCACCTCTACCACCACCTCTATCACCACCTCTATTATTACCACCTCCTATTAGTAAAAATATCATGACTTATTATTATGTCATATGTGCGTATAGCGTAAAGCTAATCTTTTCTACCCCTTTTAGTCTTAGTTAGGTATTATAGCGTATAATAGATATAAAACTACTTTTTATACTTAATTTAAACCACCTATAATAAAGTAAACCACCACTTTAAACCTATTTACGGGTATACACGAGGTCAGTTTACACCTATATAGTAAACCCCTAGCGTACCATTCTACAGTAAACAATTTTTTACCGTAGTGTATGCTGACTCAAAAATTATCTTTGTACATCTGGTTATCTTCAATGGGGTTGGCTACATTGAAAAGCACTGGAGTGCGCATCGACCAAACCATAACATTCAGCAAGCCAGGCTCAGCCTCAACGAAGAAAGGGATCGAGCACCAGTATACATTTGGATAGTCAGATACCAAAGAAAATTATGTACGGTACTCATCTGCAGCTAGCAAATGCTAGCCACGTGCATTCTAATATATTGATGCGCCTAGCTCGTATGAATACAGTCCCAGGAGATACAAGCGGCCAGATATGAACATTATCCACCACAAGTATGTATAACTAGCATCCTCCTCTCCTCCACTCTGACGCTCACATCGATACACATCCCATCACTCACCATGCTCATGAAATCTGCAATACTCGCAACCATCTTCGCCGCCGCGGCGACGGCCCAGTACGGCCACTACAGTTGGTCAGTATCCCTTTCACAAGAATCGATAACCTCAACTCAGAGTATCTTATAGCGATCCTGCAAAAGGAAGTTGCCAGGAGACTTGGCTCAGTTCATCTACGACCAAGATAGGCCCGTCCTTTACCCATTATCCGAGCATATATGGTAACCCACACGATCGTCACCCCAATCCATACATTGGTTGGCTCAGTCGTCACCCGAAAAGTTCTAGCCGCTCTTCTAGCAGCTATTTCAGCTACCAAACGGGCTATTCCAGCTATGAGACGAGCTCTGAAAGCTATGGATCGAGCTCTACCAGCACCGAGAGCAACCTTATCGGCTATGGATCGAAGTCGATCAGCAGCGAGAGCAGCTCTTCGAGCAAAAAGTTGAGCACTTCCAGTGGTCCGTCTAGCTCCAAGGCAACATTTACCCTCACACCCTCCAGCAGCGCCTCTGCCGTCTTCCCTCGCATCTACTCGAACAGTTCCACACCCATTACATTCTCCTCCAGCTCCGCCAGCAACTCTACCGCTACTTCCTTCAGCATTACCAACTCGCCCAGCTCCTCCTCGTCCACCAAAACCTCCCCAACCCTCTCCTTACAAAGCACAAAGAAAGTCTGCTCCCTCGTTGGAGGTACGTTCCCCTGTTCTCCCTCCCCGGCCAACTCTCCCCACTAACCCTCTCCCCAGGACCTTGCGGTGGTAGTAGTGGCACTAGATGTTGCACTGTCAACCTCACCTGCGGTAGCTTGCTTGTCCGAAACAAATGCTGTGTGCGCGAGAACCAATTCTGCGTCTTCTCGCCTAAGCAGCCGACTGGTGGGTGCTGTGAAGGTGATTGTCTTGGGGATGGGGATGGGCCGAATTTCGTTTGTCAGATGCCTAGATGAGGTACGGGCACTGGGGGTTGGGGGTTGGTCGGTGGTGTTGGGTTTGGGATTGTGGGTTCATGGGTTGATTGGGGTTTGGTCTAAGGGGTTGTGGGTGTTTGCACTTGTTGTTGAGATTGAAGTTGGGGAATGAGATCATCCTTGCTTTGAGAAATCTCCACTCTATACTCGGTCGGGAGATCTCTACGCCATACCTCTGTGTCGCGTAACAATGTTCCAACGGCTATGTTGCTACGAGTTGACGCTTGTAGTATTGGTGCAAGGCATCCGGAATATGTTCTTCGTGCGCAATTGAATACCTAATTTTCAGACTGACTCGTTACTTTAGAAATATCTTCGGTGCCCAGAATCGTGACGTAGCTCTTCCCGGGCACCATATCCCACAATGACTCGCTTGAATATTGTGTGCTTAAGTGAGGATGCGGGACGAAGTATATTGGCCCAGTAATACTTATGATAGGTCCTGCCATAGTGCCTTTCGGTTAATAAACCAATGTAGTGAGGAAACCACAAGGTTTACCAAGACTTTTTCTGCCTCTGGAAAATCCTAATCGTACGGAGCCAATGACAGTGCACAGTGCCAGTAGGGTGTGAACACTTTCTTCTTGTGCTTGGCAACTCGAGGATGCTAAAAAAAACCTCATCATCTGCGCATAGACTCTTAATGAAGACAACGTTCTTGCGAACACACAAAATGCCGATATCGGACATTTGTCGGATTCTGACGGGAGCAGTCCGAAGAGTTGTCTGGGATATGGTGGTTGCAGTCGCCTTGTAAGCCATGGTGCATACCGACACAACCCTGATCATCGTGCCCCTCATTCGTATCTTGCAGCGACGACTGCGTTGCCCAAGCTCTTCCGTCATCACGCATGACGATTCGGACTTTCTGCCAGAATTGGAGCGAGAATTGAGCTTCCGGACATGTCCAAAGATTGGAACTGCATGTGTATCTTGCAAAGGAATAGTTTTGATGCCCAATCTTCT